GTACTGAATCCATCCCCTGCTAGCAATTAAAATGATGAGGCAAGCAGTGAGCCTGCATGGTTTGCAGGTCTCTGCCAGGTGTTCTACAGAGCGGACTCTTTGGAAAGGGGAAAAAAACACAGAAGATGCAAGGAGAGGCTGAGCAACCCTATCTTGGATCATCTCTGTAATGAGGCAATGGGAAGGTCCTGCTGTGAAGAAATTTGCTGTCCTGCAGCCTTGCAATTATTGTAGTCTATCGCTGTGAAAGGGCAGAAATTAACTGGAGGAAATGAGAAAAGAAAAATGGCTGCAGTTTTGTCTGAAATGTTAAGTAGTGGCAGAGTAGAGTCAGATGCACGCACATGGAGTCTATAGAGGTAATTTTTCCTCAGCTCCAAGGCCGCGTAGAGCAGATCTGCATTTGTTCAGCTGTGCAGGTAATTAGCAGAAGCACTCATCTTTTCTGCCCTCGGAACAAATGGCACCGTGCAGATCTATAGGAAGGAAGTTGATGTAGGCATTTCTGTCACTACTGCAGTTTCTTCACACTGGAAATCAAAAATGTATTCCTCGCTCCTGGAATTGAATAATTGATTCACAGCGGCAGGAAATTGTCTTTCCTGTGTGCCAAAACCAGTGTTGCTCAGCTGATTGACTTTAGTCCTTAAGGTGTCACCCCTTCATTCATGAAGGTGATGAGAATGACTCTGCTGCGGCGATGCACAAGCCTGAAAGCCAGTATGTTCCTTTGCTGCACAAATGTAGGGAGGGGCTCTCAAGTCACCCTTGAACAGGACCTCGTTGCGCTTCACCCTACAATTCTGCTACTAGCCACTGCAGAGCTGCGCTGATGCTGTTTGGTGGACCTGTTCTTGTTCTACATGTTCCCTTCCAGGCAGTATCACTTCTAGCGCAATCACTGTTCTTGGGGACTTTCCTGTAAATGTCACCGTAGATTTGGAGGAAGAGGGCATAATGGCTCCCCACTGTACCTTGCTTACTTTATGTGGCTAGAGTTGGCATAGGGTTTTTATCCACCCGTGTTGTGTGATAGTGAGGGGAAAAAACCACCCTGAGGAGGAGCTCTTCTGCTCCAGTGGGATCCACCAAAGTCTTTTTCATCCTGTACAACTGTAGGGAATGTAAAGACTAGAGCCATTATTTTTATCTTTTGGAGATAAATAAAATGTCATCATATTCAGTGAGAGCAGTAAAACCGCAGATCACATAGCTTAGATATTTTACAGGTACTGCAGCTTTCTCTGCCATACAGGCAAAAACTTGCAGAGATCAGGCTATGAAGCCCACGTTTAAATCGCTGGCGCATGCAGACTCACCTGGAGATTTCGCGTATGAGGCATGAAAGCAGGAGAAATTAATCAAAGCGTATGAAGCCAGGAAGAAATTGGAGATGATGGGAGCAATGGTATTCAGTTCAGCTGCAAGACACACACACAAGTATGACATAGGCACCAGTTTCCTAGACTGTTGGATAGCTTTTTCCTGACGATGCGTTAAATCTGGACACTGTCTGAATTTGTCATCTAGGGAGAGGTTGGGTATTTTCCTGTGGTACTAATTTAAGGCCACCTTGATGTACCTTCATTCATATTAAGTAATGTCTGCTGATGCTGATTTTAATAATATTATGTGCTATGCAAGGTTACTCTTATTCTACAGACTGGCTCTTAATGACGCAGATCTGGTGTAAATTTCAGAATTTTAAATACATAATTGAGAGGACAGATGTGTTTCACAAGAGACTTATCGTTAAAACGTACTGTTTTGCTTTTGAAATGGCAATCTGAATTTTCTCTACTAAACTTCCCATTTACTTAGTGGCACACAGTTTGAATTTCCAATCTTGGAAAACTAAATATGGTAGCTGGGATTTTCTGCCACCAGTACTGGCAAACTGGGATTTGCTTTGGAGCTGACTGTGGGGAAGGCTTGGCAGAGTAGGCTTCCTAATTATCTCAGAATTACCTCAGAGCTACGTGCAATATAAACTGGAAAACCATTTTCAAAGTTGGTGACTTTGCATTATTTGATGTAGTTCTAAGCACTGCCCTCTTCCAGCGGAGTGAACAGGAATTGCACCTACTCTGCGTCTTTGACAATGAGGTTATGGTGGCGCTGAGATGTTCCTAGAGTCCCTGTTGGTTTATTTTTGCCTTCTTTAAGAATAATGGAATTGCTAGCAGGGCTTTGAGTGTGCTTGGGCTTATGTCAGAGCTTACCTGACTGGAAATTTTTCTAACCGTAGCTAATCATTGTATTAAAATACCAGTTTATATAATTTCAAAACATGAGATTATAGCAGCTGCGTAACGATATACAAACCAATCAAAATGAATGCCATAGCAATCACGAAAGTGAGAACATATCCCCTGATGGGCTCGTTGTTCTTTCCGTATCCTTTGGCAAAGAAGTGGAGCGCTTTGTAGATGTTGTCCTTGCAAAGAGCCTGGTAGACAAATCAGAACTTAATTCTTTTAAGCAGTGCTTTCTTACATCAGAAGTAGTTCACTGTGAGCGACAGCTTGCTAGGCTTTTGCTAAACAAAAATTAAATCTATCTTAGTATTTCAAGTACATCTACTGCTGTGGCGCATAAAAATTCAAATAAGGTGATAAGCCAATATCCTCCTATATTATTATACAGTGGGAAAACAGAATCACAGGCATTTAATACTTATTCAGTGCTTTAAAAAAAGAATAACTGAATAGCCAAATAGAGTCTAAATTGGAGGAAGCCGAAGCACAAATCAGTGGCTTGGTGTAAGTTGTACAGGTTATCTTTCTGTCCCATGCCCTCTGTTCCCATTCTGTCCGCACTGCTGCTGCCCAGACAGCTTCTGGACAGCCTGTCTGAGCACACCTGCCAGCACCTGAACCTGATGGGCCTGAGGGCTCCCGTGCATATTCCTGGCACTCCTGCGCTTACAGGGTGGCTTTCTGTAAGGAGATAGAAGTGGTCCTGGAAGTGGCCTTGCAGCGATCTATAACAAGCACGCGTGTATCCCCCGCTCCTGCAGCAAGGCTGAGCTCTGACCAAAGGAACATTGTGACCCGAAATGCTCACCCCTGCATGCGGGTGATCAGACCTGCCTATTTCCGTTGGAAAACATTCCACATACTGTTTTCCCTGCCTCTTCCTCCCACACGTGTCAGTGTTGTGTAAATATGTATCACATTTGGCACATAGGGTTCAACTAAGTTGTATGTCTTCATAGTGAAATAGAGTAGAAGGAAATGGGTAGTTTAATTTTACCTGGAAAACTTTGGGTGCGCTGACAAGAGATGCCAGAGCTGATGACAGAGTAGCAGAAAAGATGCCAGCTGTGATGAGAGGACCAAAACCAGACACCATGCTCATCACCTTTAGGAAAAAAAGAAGGAAAAAAGAATAGTCAGGCTTGCATTTGGATACACTTTTTGATCACAGACCCGTTTAAGTACCCTGTTTCTATGTGTCTCTGCTTTTCACGGTCCTAAATTCAATATACTACAAACCAACTGTGAAGGGAAATACTATTATTCCTGTTTTAGTAAAAAGCAATGGAGGCATAGCCAAATTTTTATGCAAGTATGCAGCTGTCTGCTGAGGCAGACGAGTACTCCGTGAGATCTTCTCACCTCCTTTACTAACTGTTGCTATAAGTAACAGCCTCTACGTGATGGGTAAATAGCCAGCTTGTAGCAAGAAGGGAAAATGGAAACAGCAGGAAAAAGCACCAAAGTACAAAATGTGGTTGGAGGCACTTTCTTTGGTTTGGTTTGGATTTTTTTTTCTTAATTATTTAATATGGCTAAAAAAGAGGGAAAATGCCTGATTGTGCTGGCATAACAGCAGTGCTGCGAACAGTAACGACGGTCACCGTCAGGCCTCCCTCAGCCCTCCCAGAGGGGCTGCACTGGCCTCTGCGACCACTGAAGCAAAAGGGTTGCTGAGAAGCATCCGGCAAGGAAGCTAAAAGGTGAGGCGGACAGATGTGATCGCCAGATGCTTTTTGGTGTGTAGGAGGTAGTCCAGGAAAGACACCAGTTAATCCTGGAGATTTGTCAGATGAAGACATATTTTTTTCTGACTTTAGTCTGGCAAGATAAATGAAAGAAATGAAACTCTGTTTATGGCTCTAGGGTGGTCACTGATTTGAAGGGTTGCCCTGCGTCTGGGCAGCTGAACTGAGGTGGGAGTGAGGATGGCGAATGATCAAGAAAGGAAGGAAAAGTCATCTGTGACAGGGATATCCCTTTTAAGGTGGTTACCTAGCCCTGTCATTTAGCAGAGCCAGCTGGGAAAAAAGCAAGTGACTTTAAAAGCTACAAGGGCTAGTTGAAAAGCAAGTGCAGGTGGGTGGTGAGCTCCTCTCGCGGGCTGTGAAGCACAGGGGCCGAACAGACATCTGGGAGCCGTGGTTGTCAGGCTGCAGAAGGAGTGCTTTACTTTGATGCTTTGCCTAAGCTTTATTTTGAAGAATAAAAATGGCAGACAGTCTCTCTCTGGCCTAGGAGAAAGACCCCGTTACTTCTCACTGGATTTTTCACTTGACTATTTTTGGATACTTTTTTTTAAGAAGTCAGAACTCTCTTTTTGTACCGTGGCGCAAACCTTTAACAGTGACCACAGCACCCCTGAGGAAGAATCGCATCCGTGTGTAAAGAGCAGTGAGGTGAGATGCTCATCTGGCGAGAGTTCCTGAGGTCTCTGTTAAGTCTAGATTTTGAGTTTGAAGATGTTACAGCATGTACTGCTGCATGGTACCTGTTGAAAGAGGAGGTAAAGACCTTACCAGAGCGCTGGGAAGGCTCGTGGTGGGCAGTATGAAGGTAATGTGGAATGCAGGCGACTTTCCCCTTTGATTATTCCTATAGGTTTTTACTTTTTTTAGATAAAAGTGGATGTCCTGTTGTAGTTAGTTGTCAGCAAATAATGGGTTTGCATGTTTGTACTTTTGTATTCATGTATTGCTTATGATTACACGTATTATCTCATTAAAACCTGAAAATTATTCATCAGCCCATAATCACATGGCTGACTTGCACATCTGGAAAAATCATAGCCTAGGCTGCAGGCAGATGATCCATTGCAGCTCATTCCAGGTACAACTGTATCATTGATGTTCCCAGTAGCATCTCGTACAACACAGGAGGCTGTGGAAACAATGATATATTATTATTTTCCTTCCTTGTGACATCGGAAGAATGTTCTTGCCACACTTTGACTCTTAGTCTGCACGCATTTCGTACAACTGCTGCCTTAGTCTCAGCCCAAAGAGCAATGTTTCATGTTGGGCAGAGATTACTTCTCTGTATTGTGGCTTAGTTTCTCATGTTGTCTGTAAGCAAATATGTACTTCTGCTACTTTTAAAATAATCAGCCAGTTGACTAATGAGGACTAGCTTATTTCTGAGAGTGGAGAACCAGATGGAGATCAACAATACATTAACTAACTCAGAAGTACATTGTCCGCCTGTGACCACTTTTACCAGCGCCAGTATTCAAAGGAAACGGGTCAGTGAGGCTCTTAGGTCTAGGCATACACTTTTTTGTTTTGTTGAACAAGGACACACGATTGCTTTAGAGACACAGATCCTCAGCTGTTCAAATTGTCATAGCCCTGCTGATACCAATATGGTGAGAAAAACTTTCAACAAGAGAAATTACCTATATTCTTTCTGGTTTTGGTAATATTTATGTGGTCTTTTTTTGTTTGCCACCAGAAATGGGAAGAAACATAGGAGTTAACTTAGAGCGCTGATCTCAACATCTTTAGTGGCCAAAATGTAAGTTTATATGGTGTCCTCAAATACGTCAAAACCATTGTTATTGAAAGTCCCAAAGTAACCATTATCTGTTTAGCAAACCAATATGCAAACAGAAAGAAAAAAAGGCATTGCACTGAAAAGCAGACAGCTCTGAAGTTGAAATACAGCTATTGCTTATGAGAACAGAACAATGCATTAACACGGATTTATAACAGAAAGTGAAGAATGACTATTTCAGCTTTAATTGCAGGGGAAATTTAGATCCAAATAATGCAATAACCTGAGCTGCAGCTTGACTGGAGTATTCTGCCTTTTGCATAAAGTACAAGGACCACAAAAGTCAAGAAGGCTTGAGATTCACCTCCCAGAAAAGGGAGTACCCCGCAGGGCTTTCATGCAGTATTGAGGTATTTGCTCGTAAGGACGAGTGTCATTTACAATGCTTTCTTACAGTACTATTAAAATAGAAAAAGAAAAATCTTTTTCTGAACAGAGATTTATTGTACCCTTGCAATGAGAATTTAATTGCATATTCCTCCAACACAGTTCATGGCTTCAGTACAGGTCCTCTTTTTACTCTTGTGTCCGTTTTGTTACCTCACATTCTGATATTGTAGAGCACCGAGTCACGTAGTGCATCTTCTTTAAGACAGGCAATTGATTTCTGTCTTTGACATGTAACACCCAAAATGTGTGTGTTACCCTCTTACTCATGAGTGCTCAGTAAGACAGGTGAGAGCGAGTACAAGCCACATGAAATTTCAATGTGAATGAGGAACAAAAGATCAGCAGATTGATCAGAGGTTCCTTTAATCTTTACTACGCTCATGGATACTATATGCTAGTGGTCTTTGTCACTGAATCAAATGCAAAAGTAACCATGCAAGTTATAACAAAAAAAAAAAAAATCCAGCTGCCAAACAGGGACTTTTGTTTCTGCTGATAGCTGCTTTTTTTCCCCACTGTTTTTACATACAGTAAAATCAAAACTACTATCTCTCTACATAATAAATCCACAGGATGAAAAAGCAATGAGGTTAATAATTCATTAGCATACCAGGCTTTCAAACTTTTTTAACTGTATAAATTAAGACATGAAGCAGAGTTCTGTACTTACCTACACATATTGCAACGCCAATGTAAGCAACTGTTGTAATCAGAATGGCCAGCATTGTTCCTCTGGGTATCGCACTTTGTGGATCCTTAAAACAAAGCAGTGACCAAAAAACCACTGAGTTTGTGTGCTGCACTCTGATTGCGTTTGCATGTTAGCGAGTCCTGCCACACTGTGGTGTGAAGATACCTTTAGAGGGTCGATTGTCACCACTTAGACCTGCACTAACAGTTCCTGTCTCAGCAGGTGGATAGTGAAGCAGCCCTGGGGGGACCCTGGACATGGCGAAGGGTATTCTGCAGGAGCCGAGGTCACGTTTATGGCAGCAGGAGAGTCCGGAGCGCTGCATTTCTGGCAGCTCCAAACTCTCTTTACACTGCAATGGGCTTTATTTTCATGTTTAATGATATAATGGGTAAACAGTTACTGAACTAAGCATCAAACTCGTGGATGACAAGACTGGACCATGTTTGGTTAATCGGTAAGATAGATGCAGACAGTCACCCTGTGCAGAATACAGTACTTTTGTGATGAGCAACTATGAATTGTTAGTTGTGTCTTGACAACAAGCTACTTCCTTTCGCTCTTTTGACTTTTAATTTGGATAATTTAATAAGGCTGGCTTATAATGCTTACAGACTGGCTCACAACAATATTGGCTTTCATTGTGCAACTGTAAGTAAGGGTCCAAAGATCTGCCTCATACATTGTAATATTAAAGGGGATTTTAATACTAGCTAATCTTACAATTTAGTGTGTGATTGTTTATGCTAGGAAGCATTCTTTATGAGTTAAGTTGGATTAGTGAAGTTTTTTAGGTTGAAGATGCGTGGAATACATTTTAAGCCACAGACTTTTGTGCTTTTATAACTATGCTCGTTGCATGGGGAAAAAAAACAGAATACAAATTTGGAGTGTCATGTGAAACACGGATGAATGACTTAACTGTGTTAATAAAATTTTTAAATGAAGTAAGGATTTATTGAGCTGAAAAATAATTGCAAAGTCACTTCAGCTGCATAAGACCTTTTGCCCTCTGATCATGGTAACTTCAATTTATGCAGTTCTGATGTGCATGTCTTAGGTCACTTTTTGTGGAGTCTCTTGCTGCAATCTTACACGCTGTAACCTTAAATCTTAGGATTAAAGCTTCTTACAGCTTTTACAACTTTTAAACTTTATCAATAATTAAACACATTTAATATGATGTTAACACTTCAGGGCCTGCTCCAAAACCCACCGAAGTCACTAGGAAGACTAGCTGTTTCGGTAAGTAGGCTTTGGGCTAGGCCACGACTTGAGTGTGTAGCGGCTACAGAAGCATAGGTGTTTGCAACAGATTCTAAAGAAAGTTTGACTGGTCAATTTTACACCTTTTAAATACTTCTTAGCTTGTCTTTTAGATTTCTGGAGAGGCTGGTTAATTTAATTAGACCTGTCTAATGCATCTAAACGTGCTCAGGAGGGAATCTGCAGCCTGGAGGACTTGGTTATAGAAATCCGTATTGCCAAACTGACACAACCGCAGAGAGGCAAGGGGAGAACCGCTTCCCTTGGTCTGCTCAGACTCTTCCAAATAGCTTATGAAAGAAGTGCTGCTGCTTTGGGCGCTTGCCATGTATAGAGAGCGCCATATATGGCAAAAGAATTATTTTTGTTTGATAAAAGGATGGAGATTGTGTGAGGCTGATTCAGTCTCGGTGGACAGCAGTACAATGATTTTTGTTTTTTTAATTAAAAATGGAATCTCATAGACGCTATTAGTGTCTCAGTTTCTACCTGTTTCTCTCTGTGCTTGGCTTCAAGAGCAGTCCTCTGAAAACAAAGGAGATGAGGCATGCAACTCAGTGTGAGGAAGGAAACAACTGGCTGTCAGGGTTGGTAGGATCTGGTGAACTTGTGACTGCTGTGCCAGTACAGAAATAACAGACCTTTGGTTGAATCCTTAAGTGTACAAGACAATGGGTCTGCATGATAAAGCCAAATAACTTCATTTGACATGCTGGGGTTATCAAGGTGTGAGCCACATTGTTTTGGTGACCTTTTTTTTTTCCTTTTTTGTTTTTTTTGGGGTGTTCTTTTGGTTTTTTGTTTGGTTTTTGTTGTTGTTGGTTTAGTATTAGATTGCAAGACTTGAGTTATGGGTACCCCTGGTGCATTTCTGAATTTCTTGAAATATTACGAAGTATTGCATTGCTCCACATTTACTAGAGATGTTTTACCAAATGCTTTGCTGAGCTTTGAATTACTTCATCTTTACGTTCAGCTTTAAACACTCTTTGCATTAAATACACTGTGCAAGGTCATGAAAACTAGAGGGCACTCAAAGTTAAAACTAAATTCCTGTCTCTAATTTCCCAGTATGTTTAGGTACTGGAAATATCACCCCGTACAACTGCTATCCTACAACAGGAGAGCGGGGGGGACCTGGCAGAATGGCCGCAGCAAGACAATTGGGCACCCTTGGACCTCCTTTCCCTTTCTCTTCAGACTCCTTTCTTTTGTCACAGCTGCAAACCTGCGGCTTTTCCTTTGAGGAGCAGTAGTGACATGGGATTGGGACATACTTGCTTTCATGAAATGCTCTCTTCGCTTTGCCCTTGCTATGACCCTGAATAGAAAAAGCCGGTCTCCACCGATTCTTGTGAGTACAAACATGAGCTTTACAGGTGTGCTTTTTGGGATGATGTTTTAGGAGATTTTGCAAAAGAAGAGCGCCAAGAGATACACGTGTAATTTCTCTTATGTCATATGCTGCTAATGGACCGTTAATGATATATTAATTATTACAGGTTATTGAAACATGCTTTTAAATGATACAGCAACCCAAATCTGAATGCAGTAATTTTTGTAAATAGCCATAATGCATTATGAGAGAAAATGTGAATTGATGGTTTTAAATAATAAAGCAGTTACTTAGAAGTGAGTTTTGCTTCCCAAAAGAAGACATGATTTAAAACTGAATACGGTGTTGGTTCATAATTTGGGTTTTTGTTCTTTTTTCAGCCTATGGGTAGTAGTATGAAGTTAATGAAATACGTACTTTCAGATCTCCTGAGATATTGGCTCCTGCAAGAATGCCAGTGGCAGCTGGGAAAAAAATGGCAAACACCGAGAAAAATCCTTCTCCGCTTCTGAAATCTGGTCCGAAGTTTTCTGCAAATATTGATGCTGCAAATACAGGTGAAAATGAAACATACCACCAGGATTTGATTCCAAAGTTACTTAATGAAGGAGGTGAATAAGCTAGTCTTTCACGTCTGGACGACTGGGTTTGAATCTGTCTCATATCATAAGCAAAGTGAATTTGATTTACTTAGTCTGGTCCCCAGTAGGATGTGCTTGCCTGCATCTCAGAGCTGCAGATCCATATTGAAGTGACAGGAGTGTCACCACAGCACTTGCATTTAGCTCTGTGTAGAAGTTTGTCTGTGCTCTGCTGATACACAAATGACTCAAGCTGCAGCTAACTGTGCTGTCAGCTTCAGCAGCAGAGAGACAGACTCAAAATTAAAGATGAAATAAATTCCCTTGGTTTGCAAGCTTACTTAAACTTGGGCAGACGATACTGATCTCGTGACCTTTTTCAGTGGAATCCTTAACTCAGTATGAAGCCAAAAAGAATGCAAACTTATTATTTTATGATAGATAGCAAGGTTACTTGCCTTGGTAATTAAAAAAGCCTCTTGCCTTCTTTTCGTTGTTGGTAGGAATGACTGTCCCAATGAAGAAGTTTGCAATGGCAATAAGGAGAACAAATAGAAGAATAACTTGAGCCTATTAATAGAAACAAAAAGATTTTCCCGATGATTTTAATTTGCATTGACTGTGGAGATGGCTATATGGTAAGTTATCTGTATGTGTTCCCTACGACAGATTACTGATTTCTGTAGTTTTCGAAAGATAGCTGAATCAGCTGATGACAACAGCAGATAGTTTTTACTAAGGGAGTTATGAAATATGTCCTTATAATTTAGTTTTTGTTCGTTTCTTTACAAGAAAAAGCAAAATGAAACAGCTAATGCATTAATATCAAGTATAAGACATTTTTATGTTGTTATAAAGTTTGTTTAGTTGCCAAGGGTTATAATATCAAATTGTTTTTGTGATCTCTTTTACAAGTAGTTCTAGTCTCCATCACAGCAGAATGTAAAAATAAGGGTGCTGTTCTGGACCTGATTTCGCTAGCTGTATTCCACCCTCTAAAGTATTTCCATTGGAATTTCCATTTTGAACTTCTTTTTACAGGGGAAGGAACAGCAGAAATCATTAGGGATTAAGGAATGGACAGCAAATAGAGCTCTTCCGCTGAGTAGAGCTTGAGAAAGTACAGTGATAAAACCATATATTGTTTTTACTACTGTTTATTCTGTCAAGCAGCCTCAAAACTAAGGGCAAAAGGGGCACTTACCCAAGGCTCTAAATGATGCCATGAATTATAAAAATCAATATAATCAAGCTGTCTGCAGAACACAAACTTCCTCTTCCCTTTTAAATATATGTTCAAGGAAGAGCATGGAGTAATTGTGCTTTCATTGAATGTAATGATTAAACCGCTGTTGCTTTTAGAAAGGTTAAGCGTAAACTGAAACTGCGTGGTTTTGAAAACTCCACCTGTTGTATAGCTTTCCTCACACACAAATGCTGTACAGTAGTCTAATATACTGCTTGCTTTTATGTTCTTTTAAAGGTTTACCTTTGCTTCCCATTCCATGCCAGCAACAGAGATGCTGAGAAGACACACAACAGTTATGGTACCTATTATTCTGATGTCATTGGACTCATCTACCATCAGTGTATCACTCTCCTGAAAGCAGTAAGAAAGGTTATTAGAACCAGTCCTTCTCGGCCCAGCTGGTGGGATCAGGTAACAAGGTGAAATAGAAAACAGTGAGCTGACAAAGTTTCAGAGATTTGTGAGACCGAGGGTTTGTATTTCATGTTCCAGCTGGCTCTTTGTCGTTGGGGTTATTTGGCTGTCTACTTAGATGTCTGTTCCTTTTCTGGTTTTGAGATTCTTGTGGAGAAATATATGCAATATATTCATAAGGTAGAAATAATGGAGAAACACTCCATGGCATGTTTAGACAGACCAGCTTCTTCCCTGCTAAAGATGTCCCTCAAGCCTCAGCTAAAAAGTATCACCACTTAAACAAATACGTAAAAACAACCAACCAACCCTCAAACCAAAACCAAACCAACGCCCCCCAAAACAAAAAAAGCCAAAACAATGTACTTATATACATGAAACATCTACATTTACCTTAAGAAGTTCTACAACTGTTTCGGCAAATCCAACTACGTACATAGCAACTGCCACTGCGTTCGCAAAAGCAAAGATAAGCCCTATAGATCCACCAAACTCTGGGCCTAGACTTCTTGAGATAAGATAGTATGCTCCACCTGCAGACAGAAATGACAGTTATTTCAGCACAACTAAATGCTCAGTTTTTGCTCATTTTTCTCACAGAAATAATACCGCAGGAATCTCTGCTTTTAGCCTAACAAACATAATCAATATTTGCCCTATATTAATAGAGGACACTGATAAAAAAAGGAATGTGCTTTGTACTGGTTCTGCCTTCAGCCTTTTCTGTATGCCTTTCTACTGCAGCAATCTTTTTAGTGCATATCTTAGCATGCAAAACTGGACCCTCAAATATTTTTTTCATGATACATAATACAGCAACACAGAGCAGAGAGAACCTCACTTCCAGACAGGTTCTAACTTACTTGCATCTATCCTAATGTTAGCAGGAAAGATCGTATTCTGTGGTACATTGTTAAAGCTCCTGCATAGTGATGCAGTGAATCTTTAATCTTTTTTGCATATCACCATAAATGGAGCATATTATTTTGTCAGTTAATTATTTCATCTCATCTCACTGGCACTTAATATTTATTGTCAGGAAGTGTTTAAGATTATATACGTTTTAATTTCCTGTTGATCCATTGAGAGAGATCACTCCGAATATATTTATTTATTATTGCTTTGCTTGTAACACAGTTATCTCAATTCCAATTTTTTTTTCTAATCCAAATCTGCAGATTGTTGTATTTTTCACGAGATCATATTCACTTACCTCCTCTTACTACTCCATTAGTGCAAATGGCAGACATGGAGATACCTGTTAATGTTGTTACTACTACACTCAGACCAATAACTATGATTCCAAGACCTGAAAGATCCGAAAAAGAAAGTATATTCAAGTGTATTCAAATACCTGTTCTGCTTAAATGCCGTAGTAAGAACTTGCCATTTTCCACAGAGGTTAAAGCAGACCGGTTATAACTTTAAGGCTCTGAAATGCACTAAAACTTCATTTCATAAAATACCTGACATGCACTTTTCCAGCAAAATTATTTACTCATCTTCCAAGGAGTGGCTGAAATGTAAGGGGTTTTATAAAGAAGGTATTAAACTGAAGATATCCACTGATCTGCATCGGTGATCAGAGGGGAAGAGATGCCTCATGCTCAAGTTTGTCCAAGGACGTCCAGCCTGGAATGCTCTGAATAAGAAAGACCTGCTGAAAGGCAACAGAAGAACTCCATGAAAAGCCAGAAGCCATCCCTCGCTCGGCGTTAGGCAGGAACATCTGAAACGTACTTCGCAGACTGAACTGAAATCTGGGATTTATTAAAAGTGATAACTCAAACATGCCATAAATTGTGATTAGAGGTGGCTAGAATAGTTACCTTCCAGTTCCTTTAGATGTACCATTTGGTTTATCGTCCCTCTGGTTTGCCTCATATGAAAATAATACATAAAGACCTTTTTGGGCTTGAAAGCATTAGTAACCCTAAGATTTTTACCTCCACGGACAAACCCATTAGTTGCTATTGCAGAAGTTGACAACCCAGTAATTGAAGTTACCATCGTGGCGAGAAGAATTATGATTACTCCAAGACCTGTCAGTAATAAGAAGATAAAATATTTTACTCGTGTTCCATGATTCCTACAAATCATTCTCTCTTTAAATTGAATTTTCAGGCCAGAATCGGAGCAATAAACTGAAAAGATGGTTTGTTGACCACTTGCAGTTTCCAGAACGTTTCCAAGGATTCCATGTCACGGTAGAAAATTATTACCATCAGTCTCCAAGCAGTGATTCTTTCTGATAGGAGTACCCTAGCCAGAAACTCTTGTGATTTTCAAAGGCTGGAGGAAATGAGCAAACACGTGTCCCTTGGCATGGATGCTTACGTCTGCCTTTAATATACATCCTGGCTGTTTAAGTGAAGAGATCGACACATTAATCAGAGCTCTTGTAAGAATGCTGCTGTATTTCATCAGTTAATTAAACACCGATTCAGAAGAAGACTGACTGTATAGTTTCATAGTGCACCAGGACAAAGAGTCTATCGGGTAGAGAGACAAGACCTGACTGCGACCCTTCTGTAGCCTCACTGGCCAAGCTATCGAGTGCTGCGCTTCCCCACTCTATCTCCCTCTTGCCCTCCAAAAAGTAGTTTTACTCTAACACGAGACAAACATTTGAAAATGGAAATACTGCTTCTTAGATGCCATTTACTTTACCGGGTGACCTGTAATGTGTAATCTTAGAGAACTTAGAATTTATTTTTTTTTTTAGCAGATACCACAAAATTGTATAATTAAACAGAAATAATCAACCGTCTGAAGATCAGCGATAGGTGATTAGTGATAGGTGAACTGGGTTTCAGTTTGAGTAAGACTCTGAAGTCTGAGTGTGTTTCCAATCTTTGGCTATATGGTCAGGTTTCTGTTAACTTTGTGAAACTGTGCTAGAAACTAGAAGCTGTATGAGTAGGAGGTGCCCGGCATGATTTAGAATCATAGAAACTTCGGTTGGAAGTGACTTCTGAAGGTCTGTAGCTCAGCCTCCCAGTCATAGCAGAACTATTGCCAACACAGGATTAAATCAGTGATGGCTTTGGCTAGCTGGGTCTTGAAAACCTCCATGGACAAAGATCCCACAGCCTCTTTGGATATGTTCCAGGGCTAGACCACCTGCCCAGTGAAAAAGCTTTTCTTTGCATACAAACTGGACCTCCCAAGCTACAACTGTGGCCATTGCTTCTGTTATATTTTCTGGCACTACCAAGAAGAGTTTGGCTCTGTAGTTCCAGAATACTTTCTTGTTTCAAGTCAGGTGAAGAAATAATATGACATTTTTCTCTCAAGTTTATTGCTTCTATTCCCATTTGTATCTATGAGAGGAGGGGGGGAAAAATTTAAAAAAAAAATGAAACCATTACAGTTTGGTGCCAAACATGGAATCAGTTCTTAGTATTATCTGAACTTGCTAGTACTTATGCAATAGCTCTCTTGTTTCTGTAATGTACATAGGTCTTCAGTGGGGAACTGAAGATTATACATTGCTTGTAGCGATATTTATTGACCAGGGCTCGTCCAAATTGAAACTTGGATCCTACAACTGACATCCAGCTAGAAGTACTACAAATATATTGATCTATCTGCCGTATTTCTACCTTCTGGCTTCCGGATCCGATCCCTGACTTCAGTTCATACTGGATGGTTATAGACATCCAATCCCTGAATGAATGTTCTTTGCTGCTTAAATTATAGCCATGTTATCACAATCCTTTAAGATAAAGCAATGTGGCGTGCGAGATATATACAACATAGTGTAGGATATTTAAAGTGATTTGGGCCTCTAATAAATCATGTTTACCCTATTGATTTCTGAACTCTTACTATAACTAGTCATGCACTGATTTTGTATGCAGGTCTGTATATAAAAAATCCATATGGTCATTCCTTTTGGTGAGCTACCATTACGTAGAAGGGTATTGTTAAACCATGCAAGTTTTGTGCCTGAGAAGTGGCTGAATGAATCTTTTCATCAGCTGTTAACTCTTAAACTGAATAAGTTAGACACATTATTCTTAAAGTAGTTTTAAAATTATTTGGTAAGTGCATGTGCATCCTAAAGAGTATTTTCCCAGGATTTTTCTATTGCATTTCACGATTCATGTTGTTAACATGTATATGATAAATAGGGGCTGATATTTCTTTGATGAGCAATATCTGCTTAAGAAGGCTTTAATGTTATATATTTAAATGCTTTAATGTATATATTTAAATATATATATTTATTTATGCTTTAATGTGTATATTTTAAAAAATATTTTAACATTTAAGAAGAAAAGTGCATAAAATAAAGTGACTCAACCAAAACATCATTGTAATATAGCGTAATGTAACATCATTGTAATATTCGGGGCCAGGTTTTCAGTTCACAAAAACTTGGTGTTTTTCCCTGCCTTTGGCTAGCCGTTCCTTGTATAGGTACAAATACAGACTTCGGAGAGCCCCCAGATGTTAGGTGGAAATACCAGCCTAATTTTGGACCTGGAACCTTGTCCGGACCATACTGTCCCTTTTTTCCCAGCTGATGATAAACGGAGAACCTTGTTGGAACATTATTTTTTTTCCCCTGTAAGAGCTTTTGCCCGAGACAGCCTATCAGGATATGGAAATAATTGGGTTTTCTTTCTTTGGCCCTCTAATGACGGGGATATAAATGGTGCCCAGATGGTGGTTTAACTGACTCATTTAATTTCGATGTTAGTAGCAGTACCCAGTGAAATCCCTGAGCCTTGGTGATGATGAGCTTCCATCACTGTTCTCCTTAAGCAGCTTGGCTAGGGACTTAAAGCTCATTGCTTATAAGACATTCAGAAAATGCATTGAGAAATTATTCAAATGGAATTTGATGTCTCATTTTCAGAAGTAAAACTAACCTCCTTACATAAGGCGTGCAATTTTAAAAAGCAATAGCAGAGCAATAAACCATAAGAAAGGAGGGTCTGCTTATCAGTGAATTAAAATAGTAAAATTAAATGTGAAAGCAGAAAGGCTGTAACTGATGTTGGTGCAAATTAATGTTAAAATCTGATTAAAGTTTAGATTGAAACCCAGGCATATGGCTGCTAAGTAAGTTGTTCTGAAATGAATTACTCTTGCCTATGGCTATTCTCACACCTCAAAACAAAGTAATACTTCTTGATGATCTCAATAAGTTACTAAACTGCCCTTAAAAACTAATTTTGCATGAAACCCCAGAGCAAAGTCTTGGCAATATTAAGATGCAGAATTTTCATGGCAAGGCATATACTTATGAGTGCCCTGGGCTGTACGCTCTCATTTGGTATGCATCATAAAATCAGCAAGCACCCCTTTGTCAGGCACAGTGCTAGAGCCACGCATGGAGCACTGCAAAAGTAGGTAAAGTTCTTCCGCTTAGTTCTGGAACTTTTATTGGTTGGGTTTTTTTTTTTTTTCCCCTCTTTATGTCTCTCTGAGTTTGTGGCTGGATTTTTTTTTTTAATAAGCATTTCACCTGTTTCTCTTTTTTTAAAAGCTCAGTCTTGCTCAAGTGAAACTTCTGTGAAGTTACTGTGTTTTGTTGGAGATGAGACTTCAACCATGCAAAATTTTGGAGATGTTGCGATTCGGTGTTTCATTTCACTTCCATTAACAAGGAAGTGAATGATATTTATATTCAGTCTGAATTTGAGGACCGATCTCAAGATCAGGAGAGTTGACGCCCCGAGGCCGGAGTTTGGACTCCAGCTCGTGTCTACTTAATATTTCCATTCTGCGAGAATCCAAACTGGGATAGTTGCCATCCACCCTTTGGATCGCTGCTTTTTATGACATCTGGGTGCCAGTCAAAGATTGGGGCCCCATTATCCTGGCCTGTATGATCATGTAACACAGAGGGACGCTGCCGTCGCAGTCCACGTTTCTGTGCTTCCCCAGAGCAGCAGCTCTAAAAAGGAAGCCGTACCACACAACAACTACGGATGTGTTGCGCCTCACTGAGCTTGCTCTTCTAGTTGCTGGAGATTCTTGCAGTGTCGTGAGCGCTTTCCTCTCTCACTGGTTTCACTGAACACTCAGCAACACGCTGGACGGAAGCCTTGGGGCCCAGTCTCCCAGGGACCGGGATCTGGGATTTGGATTAATTAAATTGCACGATGAAGAAGCAAAGATACAGCGCACAGTGAAGTGTACGTCGTTAATTTATAGGAAAGCTGTAGCAGAGTTTTTAAAACTTAAAGTTTCATAGTACACTAGTATCTAGTGCTGTGCTATAGTTAAAAATAACAAAATCCTGATGAGATGAGACCTCCTTCCAGTTCTGTTTTCATCTTTGCAGAGAAGTGTGAAGAAGCGTTGTTTTTAATATGTAGATGACAAGGTTTGGGATTCACAGATAAGCAAAGTGTGAACTCTTAAAGGTTAACTCTGTACGCACATATTAGAAATTGGCCCGAGTCATGAAGTTTACATCTGTTACAGGATCTAAATACAAATTTCACTAAAGCTTAGAAATACTCAAATGTGATGATCATATGCATAGTTAACAGATCTATGCCTCTAAGCAGTAATTTGGCTGCGAGTCTGGAAAATTCCAATAGTTTGGAGGATTAACATCTTTTACCCTGGCAAGCATTTGAAAACATTATTTAGTTCAACATGCAAATGCACATCTCAGATTATATATTAATCATGATCATGTATAGTTTATCCTCTTTATCCCTTTCACTGTTGGAAATGATATTAAATAAGATACATACCAATTCCTGCTTGACCTACAATCCAGGAAAGTCGAATAAAAAGCATCACACCCCAAATATTGAGCATACATCTTACCTAGGTTTTAAACAAAAAATACTGCATTAGTGCAACGTTGAAAGTACTGTTAACAACCAGAAGGGCGATAGCGTGCGTTGCAGGCTTTCAAAAAGCACCCCAACCATCCCTCAAGTCCACCTCCCTCTCTTACTTCTTAGACGACCTTAGTGTTGCAGAACTAATCTTAAAGTTTATTTTCTTTTAATTTTTTTATAAATGCGGATAAGTTTCTCACCAGCACACCCTTCACCCATCCGAACTTGACAAATCCTGCTTTGTTTTCCTCTTCCTTGCTGACTGCTGTCTCATCTCCAGCGGTGCTTTCTCCATTAGCCACTCTCTCGACTGAGCCGGTGCTCACGGCTATGTTCTGAAGGATCACACAGAAGACAAATACATTTTTGTGCCAAGCAGAGGACACCTGACCCCATAAGAGAGACGTGGAATAACGGAATTCCAAAGAAGATCAGGTTTTACTGTCTCTGGAGTAGAGTGCAATATTGTGCTCGCACCAGGCATCAGCAGGTGGGCTTGCTAACAGCGAGAAAAGATGAAAGAATCACTTAAGCAGAGTAAATACGTTATTATCTGATACTAAATTGTTTTTATTGTGAACTGTATTCAACGTATATGTTGTGTTGATATGTTAGTAGAGCATCTAACATAATGAGGGTCTCGTGGTTGGCCTTTACAGGCTGCTGCAACAATTTACGAGTAATGCTAACTGTAGGAACAGGGATAATTGCTCACTAGTGAAAAGAGACCTAGCTGAGCGCTGCATGGCAAAGTTACGTGGCGAACTCTGGTGTTTTCTGTTGGATAAAGTACAAACATAATTGCAGCAGCAAATGGGTAACGTATTCTTGAAAACAGTCAGAGAAATGCCAGTGAAATGTAGTAAATAATGCAGTAAATGAACAATCCTTTCTGTGGTTTAGCCACCTCTGGTATAACCATAGTAGAGAGGATTAGGAACTGCCATATTTGTGGGGTAACCAGAATAAATAGCCCAGAATTTTAGATTGTTCACATCCAGTTACAGACATAAATCTGTATTTTATCTCTTCAGCTCTTCAGCCCCAGAATCTTTGAGGCAATTTAGCATCAAGATAGGAATTGGTCACAGTACTGAGGTTTATACTCGTTGTCATTGCTGCTTTGTTTCTTTTTTTTTTTTTTTTTAATACAAAGTTCTGACTGGTTTTGCAAGGAGTTGGCATTAGGTTAACTGTTGCCAAGTAATGTCTGGGTCCTCTGCAAAGACCTTCAGGAGGGACCATGTACCTTGCCGTAGCCTGGCAGAGGGTCAGGAGCGTGTGTCGCTTCTGGAGAGGAATCAAGATGCTTTTAGGGTTTGGAGGGGGATGAAGATACTTCCAGATTAACTAAACAGGTCAAGGAGGGGAAACATCCGAGATTCTATGCAACATATAAGGTTTTTTCATCTTACTTAAGCTTCAAGGCTGTTTCTGTAGTTTGTCCATGGACTTAAAAAAACCCAACAAACAAAACCAAAACAGACATAAAGACCAACTGTATATGACACTTACGCTAATGCCCCCCTCATGGACGGGGGGCTCTAGCCACTGCGGTGCAAGGCTGTAGAATGCCTTTGACACGGTACATGCAGGATTGTGCTCGCAAATGAGAAATAAGTGACTGGGTAATGCATTTCGACATGGAGTAAACTTTGGTGCCTATGGCCCTTTTGGCCCTGAGTGAAATGGGAATACAAGATCTATTGAAAGCCTGTGACTTGGAGCTCCGGAGTTACTTAGATAATTTCAACAATTCTTACCCTAAAATAATAATGGCTGTGTTTGCTCAAAATACAGTAAATGATTAAAGTGAGTTAAGGAAGATTAGCAGAATAATATGAAGGTTTTTTTGCTACAGTGGTTAGAATTTCAAAGGCAAAACAAAATAAAAGGGTTTGGTCTTTGTACTTGAAACAAGTTGTTTCCTATGTACTTTGAATTAATTTGTGCTCTCTGTTCCATTATCATAAATTATGGCCTTAAACCTTCCATAAATGCATTTTAAATTGGTGTGCTTTAGTGAATGATTGGTTATTTACCAAGCAGCTGTACCTGTGCTACTCATGCATTAAGGATGTGGAATAAAAGTGACAGAACATTTTGAAAAGCTACCAAAATAAAAGTTAACTGCTTTTTTAAAAAAAAAAAACCAAAACAAAAACATTTTCCTTTCCTTGTTTCAGAACAGTTTAGTCTTCATCTCTCCTGGGCTAAAGATGATGAGCTCATCAAGCCTCTGTAACAAGTGTGGAGAATAGCCGAGATGAAGAAAGGTTAGATGATTTCTTATGTAGGCTAAATATTAAGCCCAAGTAATTATCACCAGCCATCAGCTGTGAAATAGCACTTAGACTATTTTTTTAGGGATTTAATTGGCGTTTTGTGGCTTAATGTGTGCAAAATCTGACACGTCTTGCTAAAAGATGACACACATTCGACTCCAGCAGTGTGGGAACTAGATATTTGAAGTTCCTTTCAACCTGCCTTACATTCTGACATTTGAAAAATTACATATTAAAAAAGTCTATTAAATATTAATATTTATCTTCTGATGTTGAACCCAGCATCAAAGCACAATGGGAATGCTTATGTGATGTTTAGAAATCTGAAGTCAAACATATGTCACTTCTTATGAGAATCTGGCAATGGGCTTTGAACGGGACAGTTGCCTTCAACAATTTGAGTTTTAAAAAAAAGCTGGGGGTGAGGGGGATGGGATTACCTTGGGGTATGGTGTGGTAAGCCCAGAGTTTAGTGTTAAAGTAAAAAGGAATAAAGCATCTTCTCCAGAACTGCATCTTGGGCTATTAGTCCAACCCCCGTACGCACTCATCCCCTCCTTAGCGGTGGCTAGAGAGCCTGCTGCACGCTGGGGCTGGTGGATAGGCACCCCATCCAGCTCCACGTACTGCTCTTCCCTCCTGATAGGCGCTCAGCCTTCTCATACCATCTTAATTCTCCTCCCCTACTCATCTACTATTTGGTGACCTCGTGTTTACTCTTCAGAATAAGCGCTGTAGACCGAAGTGATTTGTCCCAAGGTCACAAAACGAGTCCGCGGGACAGCCAGGAATAGACTCCAGCCTTGCTAACGGCGGGTCGTTTGTTCCAGTGCTGTGGTTAGTGGCTCCCAGGCCAGGGCCACAACTCGCGTAAGGGCACAGCGGGTTGCCGGTGTAAGAAAAATCCCATTACCTCTGACATTCACCTTCCTATTTTGAGAGGCATAAGGTTATCCTTCTGTAAGCTGGATACTGGAAAAAGTCTGGGAACGACCAAGCTAGATGATGCTCTTTTCTCTTCCCTAACAGTCCCAACCTGTGAAGCAATTTTCCCTTCGTTTTATTCTGGGATGGAATCTGCCTTCTTTTTAATCTTCTCTAAGTGAAAGCCTTAAAAAACCCTAAACAAATTAATCTAATTTTGTTTAAAATAAACCGTTGAGAGATGCAACAGCAAAAAGCCTGAATTTTCCGGTAATGGTCAAAACTGAAAATTCCTTAATATGCTAATGTTGAGTACATGTTCAGTCAGCATTACGTTCAAAGCCAATACATCATTTTTCCTCTCTCTGGCCACAATCAAAGTAAATTACTTCTGTAAGAGGTAGTTTCTTCTGGGCATGGAAATGTATTTGGTTCCTTGAGTAGCAGCTTACACATCTGCAAATGAGTAGGGATACCAAATTCATGTTCTTCCCTTTTCACGTCCACTTTGCATTCATTTTTGGAAATAAATGATGACCCAGGTAACCTGTTTCTCCTTTCTATGTAAGCCATTTTATGCAGGTCTGTGGAGACCTTAATTTAAATAAGTCGGGGCAAAACTAGGAAGCTGTCCTAATAAAATCCTAAGGAATCAGGTCCTAATTTCCAAATGGCTATTTTTTTTGCTCGATTTCATTACTTTATATTAATCCTCCTTAGGACAGGTGTACCTCCAGAGAACTGGAGTTTGAACAAGATCTGGACCAGCATCCAAAAATCAGATGCTTGTCCAAATTATTCAGACCTCAGAAGTATGTAAAACTGAGCAGAATGGTGATGAGAGCATGTTTTCTCTGGAGATTTCTCATTTCACTATTGCCCAACACAGAAAAAGAATAGGGGGTTTTGCTACATATTGACAACTTCTAGTCTGAGTTTGACTGTAGAGGTGATCCCTCTCTTTCCAGCCCTGCCCTGACAAGTGCACAATTAAGAACCTCAAAAAAGGTTTGACTTTAATTGTGTAAGTAGGTGTATCCTGTGTCTCTCCTCTGCTTTTTACAGAGAATCTGGTATTGTGGCTTAAGGGGGAAGAGTCTAATTTTACCAAAGTCAGTAGAGTATCATAATATTCCACTGTTTTGCAGTAGGTTTTTTAATAGTTTAACTGTTTCAAAGTGCTTAATCTAGTTGTTATTGTCCCCAGAAGTTCTCGTTACAGCTTTCCGCGCTATTTATTTTGCATGGAGGTGATTCTTCCACATAGGGAAATCAATCAATCTAGATATGTGAACAGACAGCAAAATTCACCTATCATCTGAGGCAGTAACACTGAAGTTAGTGAAAATCTGGTATTTGAGACTTAATAATACTACCAACTTCTCAAATTCTTTCCTGTGGAAGTTTTGAATGTGCAAACCCCAAAAGATTATACCTGGCCAATGTTATATTCTTCTGGCAAGTAGCCATAGAAGGTGACAGAAGTGAGGATTATCACGGTAAAGGGCATGTTTTGGTATTTCGTTATTCATTTACTGTAGCGCCTATGTGGAAAAAAAAAAAAAACCGGAGCAAACAGGAAGAGTCTGCTGAGTTTTTTCCATAAAATCCATTGGTCATATGCATCAATAGTGAACTCCTCCATTGTGTTGACCAAAAGTAGGTCCACTCAGAAGGGGAGAGGAGAAACAGCCCTAGAAAATCTTTCAAAGGCAGGTTAGCCAGCGGTATGCTGTTCGGTAGTTCTCTCTGTAAGTGTATTTTACATGGATATAGTCCCATCTATTACATGAGCAAAGTCTAAACAGCTCTTCTGTGTGATGGATTAGGAGGAATTTAGCCAAATTATTCCTCTATAAATGCTTTCTGTGTAGTCGTTCAAGAGGCTTTTCAGATTCTCTCCAAATTCATTGGTATAATGAGCATGAAGGCCTAAATTCATTCACTGAATCAGTACCTGAAAACTGTTGTCTGCTGTCCCTCTTCTGAGCAAACACTCTCAACCTCAGCACCCTCGTTCTGGGTTCTTCCTGCTGTTTGAATGGTTTGTCGCAGCAATTAACAGGTAGTGCTTTGGATTTCTGATTAGTTGAAATTGCATTTATTGCACATAACGTTTTTTTTAATACTTATAGATATGTATATTAATGAATACAACAGAGGAATCTGTGAAACTCAGTTATGCATTGATGTTAAATTCAAGTTTAGAAGAAGCGTGAATTGTGTAGCTTGGTTAAATTATGAATTGACATTCATCATCTGCCGTCCTGACTCTTAAGCGAAACAGAAGAGATTCAGTAGTTTTATACTTTTAGATGAGATTAAGCTATGTTTTTCTGCTAATCAAGTACATTACTATCACCTCCTAATAAAAATCTTTGCTTTGAGCAGGGCACAGGGCGGAAAACATACTGCAGCTACCAAAGGAAATATAGTAAGTGATTACTTGTACCTTTTTTCTTGGGCAAGGTCCATGAATTCAAGGACTTTCTCATATTAATAAACAGAATTAACAGCCTGGAAATGGAATAGGGAAAATTTGTATCTTTCCTTTCCACTTACCTTTGCCAGTTGTTCATGAATTTCTAATAAGCTTGGTCTGCTGAGCTTATTCCCACTGACGCTGCCAGTGTTTCTATAATAATCAATTTTGGGAACCGGGTCCACTGTGTTATGGCCAAAAGTCTGTAGATAATACATTTTAGTGTGAGTATCATAGGGATGTAAACTAGCTTCTGTTTTCTCCCCATTTTGAAGGAAATTGTCATATAATTCTCTTTTTCCTGGTCTGTAACTGATTCTCAGTCTGTTATGTGCTTCATCAGTGAAAGATGTTTCTTCATAATGTGGTGGGTCAGAGCCCACATCCTCTTGGGATGTTTCATTGTTGTCATGGCTTTCATTAATTATGTTAACTTGAAACCGATTTGCATTTGGATCCAAGAATACATTTGGCGAATTATTCATTGACATCTTCGGGGATGCTGTAGACTTAGGTCACTGATCCGTTTACTCTTCTGTGGCTGCAGCTACAGCAAAGGGTTTAGTGCTGTTGCGTATGAAATCTTTGCTCTTAGAGTAACAAAGTTCTGAGAAACTTTTCTTGAGATCTCTAAGCGGTCTTCCTAATGCTGTCCACTGTGTTTCTGCCATGAAAAATATAAATAAAACACTTCTATTAACTTGCACAGTTAGACAAGTTTTCCACCATAAGCTCTCCCCCGCCTCACCAAATATCCATGAGACTGTCACCCTATGAGTTGTTGAGTAAAAAAATATTTGAGTCAAAGACTGAGTTTGTGGGGATGTTTCCATCTGTGACAGAGGCACTCGACCCCTTCACCAAACTGGCGGTAGTTTGGTACAGGCTCCAAAGGAGGTAAAGGCCTATGCCGTAAACGGGCCAAGAACTCCCCTAGTTCCAATCTGTTCTCTGGAAACCCACAAAGGAGCGGAGTGACACAGCGAGCATCGATACCTATGAGCTTGGAACACCGACCACGCGATTAACACGTGAATAGCGGGTGGCTTTTCCAAGACTCATTTATCAAGGAACAAAGAAAGTTGTGGGTACAAGGAGTCTCATGCATGCCTTTCCCATCGCATGTAATTTGACTACAAGCCAACCACTTTATCCCATAAATATGACAGCCGAGGTGAGCCTCCTTTGAGCTCTCCCGGCTAAGCAGCCTGGCTGCATGGGGTCATCTCCCCTTGAGCTGGGACGCCTCTCAAGGTTGCTCTTCAAGGCAGAGAGACCTTTTACCAACGGCAGATCTTTGGTAAGCGACCGATATCGCGCATAACCTTGCAGTATGGTAACTTTGATTTTGTCTTGGTAACTTTGATTTGTGCCTTGGTAGTTTTGAATCATTGTTCAAACGATTGTGCCATACAGTAATAGGCAAAAAACCTTGCCATCAAAGTTTGTTAAGTCGCGCTTTTACAGCACCATATTAAAACCACTTTTGCTAATAACCTTTGACAGCGATTCTTTAAGCGATCTAAATCACCCATTCGTGACAAATTGGCGTAGTCGGCAGGATCCTAAATCAGGATTCGCGACACAATCTATATAAAACGGGCTTTGGATGAGATTCTGAGTACCTAAAATTGATTTTCAAATATAGCGTTTCTTTTAATAATGCAATGTTTAATTAAAGCCAGCAGTACAAGGGATGTGACGCAAGATTCCATGAAGTCCATTTACTGTTTATGTTCCACTTATTATTATGATACCATGTATATTTCTCTCATAGTCTAGAATTAAATTTGCATGAAAAGCTTGAATCAAATACATTTCTTTTAAATTAACCACAAAAGCTAGGCTTTAAGTTGTCAGTAGTTCCAGGATGGCGACAATTTATGAGCAGGAAATTAAGATATAGCAAATTGATCATTTTTTAATGTAAATAAAATTAATGTAATATGAAAGAATAAATAGACAACTGAAACAGATCCAAAAATAGCATTGGGTTTCCTAAATTATAATGGAGAAAATAAATTGCTATGGTAAAGTAGTCATTATTGAGAAATATTAACAATAGCGCTAGGCATCGGAAGGTTCATAGAATTTTACACTCAATTTTACATTTGTACATGCAAAACACCCTTTAAGACGATTTGAAAGGAATTGTAGCAAGTCATAGAATCACGCAGGTTGGAAGGGACCTCGGGAGCCTGTCTAGTCCGACCTCCCACTCAAAGCAGAGGGAACATTGAATGGAAATCAGGTAACTTAGGGCTTTCACCAGTCAGGTCTTGACATCCTCCAAGGACAGATTCCACAACCTGCCTTGTCAGCCTATTCTAATACTTAATTGTCCTCATAGTGGTTTTTTTCCTGTATATCCAGTTGGAACCTTCCGTGTGTCACTCTATGACCATCACGTCTCACTCTCCTGCTGTGCACCTCAGTAAAAAGCATGGCTCTGCCTTGTCAGTAACCTCCTCGTAAGTATTGGGGGGGCTGCTTAGGTCCCCCTAATGCCTTTTCTTCTTCTGGTTAAACAAGCCCCGTTTCCTTATAGGGCAAATGCTCCTACCCCCGACCGTCTTGGTGGCCCTCCATCAGACGCACACAAGTTTATCGACACCTTTCTCACATGGGCAGGTTGGGGGGAACAGGTAGACGAACTTAGAAACAGGGTTCCAGGTGCAGTCTGATGCGTGCTGACTAGAGGGGAATGATCACTCTGCTTCATCTACTGGCTATGGTCCTGTTAACCCAGCCCAGGCCACTGTTCACCTTCACTGCTCCCAGGGCATGGTGCTGACTCCTCTGTAGCCTGCTGCTCACCAGGTCCCTTCCTCCAGGAGAGCTGCTCCCTGCCAGTGAGGCCCCAGCCTGTACGGTGCAGGGGTTTAGTCTGTCCGAGGTGCGGGATTTGCATTTGTCCCTGTTGAATGTCATGAGATTCCTGTTGGCCCCTTCCTCTGGCCCGTCTAGGTCGCTCTGAGTGGGGGGCCCACAGAGAGGTGAACATATGATAGCTCTACGATCTGCTTCCCACCTCCGCTTTCCCACACTTTTCCCCCCTCAAAAAAACAAACAAGCAAACAAAAACCCCAAGAGCAAAAGGGGTACTTATATTTAAGGCCTTCAGTGGGTTAAGTACCTTCGCAGCAACTTGCAGGATGGCCTAGATGGCCCTGAAATGGGCGATGGAAACAACGGCAACCCGTATGTCTTGAAACATGCTTCTAAGGAGATAAGGGAGTGTGATTGTACAGACCTGTAGAATTCAGTAGGGGTCCAGGTCTGTTCAAACTGACTAAACCAGACCATGCTTAGACATTGAAAGTCTGCAAGCGTATGTAAAAGCAGGAAGTTTTAGAAACAAAATGTATCTATATAAAGGAAAATATGAACTGAAAATCTGGGTAAATAAGCCCATTAGATGCATTTTTAAAGTTTTTTGCTTTCACAAGAGGTTGGACTAGATGACCTCCAGAGATTTCTTCCAATTTAAATTTCCTAATGATTTCGTGAAATGCATTTGGCCCTTTGGCACCGAAAGATAAAATACCGCATCAATATTTATACCTCGGCAATGTAAATTTTCTCTAAAATCACATATCAAAATTATAATTTGAAAGGCTCATAATCAAATATCCTCCATCTTCAGTGTGAGATATAGCTAAAGCGTATTTTCTCACTTGTTCTATCAGCTATAGATAATATTCTGCTGTCGCCTCTCTGCTATGATACCACTTTATAACCCCCTCATATTTATGTTGGTTCTCCTGCTTAATGTTTTGTAAGCCTCACAGCAACATGTTACATTTGTTTAGTTTATTTTACTTCTACTGGCTTTGGATGATCAATATTACTATTATTATTACTACTACACATTTCTGATCATAGAGAGTATTCTGCTTCCTTCAGCCTTTCAAAGTTACAAGGAAGCGTTTCATCTTCAGGCATGAAGGAGCACAAACAAATCTTCTGTCATTAAGGTCAGTGAAACTAGGTTTGTTTCCATCTCCATGACTGAATGAAATCCTGATTCTTTGATGACAATGAGACTTTTGCTACCAAGTAAAATGATTCTGTAATTTCACTGTCTTATTTCCATAATATTACTATTTTGCTAGGAAAATAAAAGTCTCTTACCTTTCTGCTGCTCTTGAAAATAACACTTTGATTTTCACAGTGTATTTCCAGAGGTCTCTGAACTGTTATTTGCCATTAATTTTGTGTTTAGTATTCTAGCATTATGCATAAATCATCAAGTTTACCTTATTCAGGATAATTTAACTTACCATTCAATCCTGTGTTTTCAGGGAAGGACAATCTGCCTCTTCTATTCATGCATATAGTGTGTCCCTCTCTTTGAGGCATTACAGACTCTGCCTTATTGGCCAGATTTTTCTCCTGCTTAATATACTGAATAGACCATCCAATCCTTCTCTTTCAAAACATTTCGAGATGGTGATTTAGAGAAGCATTCTAGCTTGTTAACTATTAACCAGCAAATGTACCTATCCATTACAATTACTGGGTTTATGGTATTGCAAAATTTCTAAGGGGGCCTGAAAATACTTTTGTTATCTCCATTTGCCTCCCAGCTATGCCTGATTCTGTGCACAGATCATGATCTCTCTATTTTTCAGTTCTGCATATATAGTAACGGAGACAACAAGAGTTCAGGCTTCTGCTCAGCCCATTTCATGCGGAAGAGATTCCACTGGAGCCAGCGGGATCAGCCGTTGGTGGGTCCCCTTGTCCTATATGCGTTTTTGAACCATTTGCTCCTAACCCCATTCAAAGTTTTACTCTGTGTATTTAAGGAAAACCTTTGGAAAATTGTTCTGTGTATTCTTTCTGGGAAGGCCGACTCCCTTGTGTTTTAGGGGTGCAGAGAAGGGCGGGCAGGAAACGATGGAGCTTTGTAATCATAAGGGATTTGATAATTGCTTCCAGCGATAGATTGGGTCAAGAACAAAAGAAGTAAGACGGTATTTGGGTTCTTTGGGTATGTTTGCTGTGTTTGCTGTGTGGTTTAGAGATAACCGAACTATATTTAACCCAGATAACTTAAGTACCTTCAGCACTCTAACCTGACAGCACAGAGCTCAGCCGTGCTGATTAGGTGTACGTAAAAAGCATGACAGTCTCACGTCTCAGCAGTGGATGATCCTATCCAGCAATAACAGATCACATGAATCAGTGTATCGATATCTACCTTTGATTTTGTGGTTAAATTACCGAGGATAAATGCAATATACTGAACCTCTGAGGGCCTGGCGTTTTTTCTTACGCAGAATCTGAAGCAGTTTCAAAGCTCTTACATTCACAAAATTGTTTCTGTTTTATAATTCAAGTGACCAGTGTAGATTAGCGTTGGCTGTTCCTCTCTTATATTCTTCAGACAGGAGATTCATGTCCTTCCCTGTACAATCAAGTATTTCATGTTCCAAATGGCACTTGAGGTCTGCTGTTCCAGTGGCTGCCTCTGCCTCGTATATAGGGCAAGAGGGACAATACGTATTTTTCAGAATACCTGCAAAAGAAACCCAACTGCTGTAACTCCTCTCCTTGTCTTTGCTCCTCGTCGCAAACAGAGCCGTTTAGCAAAAGTGACAGTGCTTAAAATTCTGATGCCAACCTTCTTAAAAACGGAATTGAATTTCTGTCCGGTACTGTCATACTTGCTAAACAGCTGTGTATATGAGGGTGACCTTGAATACCCAGATTTGAGTCTTTGCTTTCCCTGTCAGTTCTTCTGCCTTGGTAGGATCTCCTATGACCAATTCTTCAGTCTGACGGTCCAGATCATACACTGTGCACACCTGCAGGAGCACAAACAGAAGAACCAACTGTGGAGAGGGGCTGGAGAGTACCGAGATCTCCACTCAGCTTTGGACGTCCTTCCCTTTCAGGGGCTGGGTACAAACGGGTGTGCAGCGTGACTGTCTCCGCTTTGGCCTTGCCAAGCTGGTGTAATTACTGCTGGGAGCTGTTAACCAGGCAGTTTAAGTTCCAGTTTAAACTGAATCATCTTCTGTAACCAAGTGGAGTAAAAAATCGGCATGCCTCGACCGATTCAGCTGGACTGTAAGATTGGTTACTTAACATTTACTTTTTCTCTTTCACCTAAAATTTTTCACAATATGGGAGACAGTGGTGGACTGGGACTGTGGTGGTGTTGGTTCAGACTGGAGTTCTGAGCAGGTGATATATTTTGTATTGCTGAATGTTTGTAGAATCAAAAATTTCCTTAATGATGTTTGTTTCCCTTCCGCTAATTCTGTTTGACTTGCTGTTGCTGTAGAGAAGGAGAAGGGAGGCCTGTCAAAAAAATACTCTCTCATGAGCAGGAAGAAACAGAACTACGCACCGTTTGCAGAGGACCACAAGAAGTTTCACACAGGACAAGCAACATACACTTTCCTTATAAACACAGTCAGCAGTACAGCTCCTGCTCTTCTTGGAAGGTGAGAGGCGAATTAGCAATTGATGTGATTTTTAGCTTTCCTGTTAGTTCCTTATGACTGCTAGTGCGTGGACCAACCCTTGTTACTCTCATCTCAGCAACATGGACACACACCTCTTGCAGGCACCTCCTCTGAGCCACAACCATTTGTTGTCCTCCACTTTTGTGTTCTCAGTATGCAAGCACAGAATTTGAGCTTCAGAAAATTGTGGCAGATGAGGAGGGGAGGGAGTTACCACTTAAAGCATTCACCATTCATGAGCCTGTCTTTTGTCCTTCACCTTTCTCTCCAGCCTATCGTGAGAGACAGGAGAAATGAGATCCTCCTCTGGAAAGGCAGATAACATCTGATTCTTAAAATACTTTTTGGCCATGATAACTTTGTAGTGAATTGTTTATTGTAGTATTTCTTTGCTGTTAACGATTTCTTATCTGCCATTCCACTGTTCCTCAAATAAAAGCAACATGAAGTGCCTCTTGAGTTTGCAACAAATATTTATTTAACAAAATGGATGCCACCAACATATCTCCAAAACGCAGGTATGTATAACAAATGTAACAACAGTTGGTTTCCAAAATGAAATCAACATCAAACTTAAGGCAGGATATTCTGTGAGTTTTCATGCAAGAGCATATTCAAATGTTCCTTTATCCAACCCCTCAACTTCATCCTCCCACGTAGAAGAAGGCATACTACTGTAGGGGTCTAGCAAGATTTTGAAGCATCTGATAATTAGAAGTCCCAAGAAAACACACAAAATCCCCACAAAGGCAAAGCCAGTTTTTTGCTCTAAAGTCAGAGGGAAGGCAGACATTTCGTTGACACTCATGCTGGCTGAAGTGTTGCTGCAGTAATTACTGCTCATCATTGGGCATCACATCCTGGTGACAGTGGGATTTTCACCTCTATTGCTTCTTTGCCTGCATAGAAAAGTAGAATCTTGGTTAGGTCTAAGTGGGGTGTGTGTATCTGAGCTGTAGCATATGAACATTTGGAAATGAAAAGCAGCTTGGATTTTAGTAGTGTCCTGTTGTTTTTTCACATTTAAATTAATGTGATAAAATTGCAACTTTTAGCCTCTACACACCATCCGCTTACTGGCCTCTGTTATGAGGCAGCAAACTCACAGTTTTCTGGCTTTCTATCTCCTCAAAACAGCAATTTCAGCACGTGGCTGCCGCAAACAGCATTTTGTCAGACTGGGCACAAGCCTACAGATTCTGATTAGGCAATACTCACCAAGGTCTCCACCTGGAGAAACCAGTATGTTTTCTGAAATGGCTTTACACCTCAGTCCTTAAACTAGTTAAACTCGCATTGACCTCAAAGGGAGTTCCAGCCAAATCACGAGGATTTTGCTCGTGTAATTTAGCTTATAAACATAAACAAATAGATCCAACTTGTAAAATAAAGCATTGTGTGTGCAATTTTAGTGAAGTCTTGGGCTCCATTTTCAGAAAAATGCTGTGTGCATTTTGAGCTTGTAAGAAAGCGAGCATATTGGTAAAATGGCCCCTTCGCCTTCCTCTATACGTGTCCACTCCTGTGTACGAGGAAAGATTGGTGGTAGAAGAGAGAACAGAAGTAAATTCCCTTCCTCTAAATCTTGCTTTCATTTGTTTCTTCTCCTTAGTCTTCCCCATTAAATACATACATATCCTGCCATTTTCACAGGCGTAGTAAACACCAGGTCTGAACAAGCCCCTCACAGAGCTCAGGGGACTGACCCTCATGTGTGTCCTACGGAGGCAGGATGCTCGAGCATCTCCACCTCGCCACTGCCACCAGGAGAGCTCTGTGTGTTTCCAGCCAGAAGAGACTTTTATTTTTGTCTTTTAAGGAGATCTTATGTCTCGAGTTTAGTTGGGCGTGGGAATCGTTTTGCTTTATTTTAGGTTTTCCATCAGATATTGAAATCACATCTTCTGTCTCTACAGACAGCAGGAGAATTGGAAGGACTGGGACATCAGAAGTGCCAAAGGACAAAGGCATTTTTATTCTAAGGTTGGAGCTTGAGGGTTTTTGGCTCTTGTTAACACCTATTTAATTAACGCGCCTCAGGGGAAAACTCTTTTTGTTAACAATTCAACCGTCTTTCCCCCCAGGGAATTCCCAGTATCCATTTATTTCTTGGCAGAGTAATTAGGCCACTGGGAGCTCTGTGCTGCCATGGCTACACTGCTTCAGGTACCTGCGCTGCTAGCCAGTTTAAAGGGAGCCCCAGTATCTTTACTCTGTGCTGCAGTCACGGCTGAAACTAGCCATATCCTGAGTCAGCCTGCAATTAATAACAACAGAAAAAGTAAAAATAAGATGTGGTATTCCTGAGAAGACAGAAATGGACAGAACTTTTATCTTATTTGGTGTCTCCTTTCTCACTCGAACATTTGGGATTTTTGAATATTATCCTAAAGAATGAAAATTTTAAAACAAGGATTAAAAGGGCAAGGCACAAGTCTTTCTTTTTGCGATAACCCTCCATATAGTAGGTATTAAATAATATGGTTTCCTATTACACTCTTTACACATTCGCCAGAGCATAACAACCAGCGGTCTGTTTATTCCACAGAGCTGTGTATGAGATCCTTCCTTGTTCTGAATGATACTCTGCTCTTTGGGTCATGTTGTTTTAATTCCTGCTAAGTTGCAGAAAAGATCCAGATATAGCCTATGGGAATTAGAAGCAATGTCAACAACAATCAATATTTCTGAAAATATATCATAGATAAAGCCCACCTGCTGTACGGATTTTCACTGGGCATACTTCCAATTTTCCTATTAAGTTTGACCTTATGTAGGAAAAAAAATCACAGAAAGTTCAGTATCACGAATTTATATCACAAATCAGTTGATTTGAACAAGAGCCAGTCAAGGAAAAAAATTACCTTCCAGAAGTCCTAGGACACTGGGTTATAAAAATTAAATTAAAGGCTTATACGGGAAAATGATATGTAGACACTACCTGGGAAAGCCAGACCCAAAAAACCCGACTGCTATCTCGGAAGACACGGAGAGAAATCTTAGGGATAGGCTGGCCATGGAGAACCCTGCATTTAAGCTGAGTCCAGAGAAATATGTGTGTGTTTGAGGTGACATTTCTTCACCACAGAGAGTCACATTCCAAGAGTAGGACTTCCAGTCTTACTAATTTTGCAGGTTACACACTGGAATTGGTGGGATTTGTTTGTACATTATGTGCTTGTCAGGAGATGTTATGGGACAGATCTCTGTGCAAAGCTTGACTGACGCTGAAACACGGAGTGGTAAGAAATGGGTATCTTAATCTTATTTGGCAAGTTTGGCTGAAACAGCTGCATGAGAAAACAGTGGGCATTTTGCTCGGGGGGGAATTGGTTCTGGGAAACTCTAATATGCAGCTTTGTGTTCTTCTCTTCCTTGTCCTGAATTTCAGAAATTGTAATTGAAGCCTTAGAGTTCACAGAACATTTTGCTCTAATTATGTATCCCCAAAACTGTGGTACCAAGACTGACCTTGAGTGCCTTTTTATTGTTTTCACATTTTAGTGCTGCATACAGGTTAGCTGTCCTCTCCCAGTTAGTCAGATATCCTTTCATTTGCTGCAGCGTCTGTGTTAAGTCGTGAGTCAGAAGACTGTGAATACTAACTAACATGGCCTGGATCCAAAAATCCTTGAAGATAACCTTTAGGGCAGCATGATGGGGGCAGGCATTATCAGGTAGAATCTGCAGAGTCATTTTGTAGGGGCTGGCCTCAGACTGATCTCTCTTGACTTTTTTTATAGGTCATGACTCTGCTCATCCTTTGATTCATTGCCTGTATATGAACACTGGCATAAAGAAAGGCTCCTTAACATCCTGCAGTGAAATAAAAGGCCATTGGAGGCCATTGTGAGGCCAGAAGAAACAACTGGAGTCCTAGAGAAAATAGGAATGAGGAAAATAGCTCAGCACGCAGACCACTGAGGTAAGGAGATCGGAGGTATGAGCTAGGGGTGCTGGCCGCACCTCTGGAAGGGTGAAGGGGAACACCACGGGCACCGAGTATTGTGAAGCAGCTGGGAGATGGATGTTGAAATTCTTATTCTAGCAGCATCACCAGCCCAACTCTGCCAATGTTTGGTGAGGACTGAAGATCCCAGCCCCAGCTCTTTGGTGGTTTGGGTGTCACTTTTTTCAGACCTAGCCTTCACCCTCATGTTTTCAGAGATACTGAGAAGATTAAGAAAATAGCCAGTAAGTGTTAAATAAAGACTTCCTCAGCAACCTTGTTGTATTTTGGGTTTCAGTCCTTCCCTCACAGAACCCCCTACAAGGGTTTTTTGTAATGGCTCAGTACTGGAAATGAGTACCTTTAACGTCTGCTCAAGCCGGGAGCATTCATCCTCTTGGCATGATTAAGCCTCAGGTGCCTGAAAACTCACTTCATAAACGACAGTGTGTAACAAAATGGACTAAATCAGTTGCCATCTGTTCTCCCCTTGGACGTCTGCAGCCCAGCTGCTGGTTCATGGATCTGGTCATTCTGAAGGTACTTCAAATAGCTTCAGTCCCGGGCTTGTGTTTGAGTGACAGCAAACCTGACTTGAAAAGGTGTGGGTATGGTTAGGGACATAAACGGGCATCCTCTGGGAGTTTCAGAAGCACCTCATTTGCACTTAACTATCTGGTCAAGGAAACGGGACTGTATTCCAGGAATGCTATTACAAGAATTGGGCATAGGAGCTGGTAGGGTGAAAGGATTAGCAATGGAGAAGACCTAACGAAATAGAAATCAGAATGAATTTGGAATTCTGCAAAGGGTCTGAGCTATCCGAGTTAACAACACATGGCCAGAAATGCTGCAAAAACGGCTCTGTGACCACACAGCCAACCTGTCATCCAAATTGCTGGGGAGAAGACTGTCTCTTCAGGGTAAGGTTTCTAAGAGAACATACAGGGAGGTGCAAGGTAGAAAGGCCAGGGCACGAATGCCCAGCAAACGGCGGCATGGCTAACTGTTCTGCAAGGATAGCGGAGCCCCGCAAAAACAGGCAGTGTTCTTGCAGCACGGTAACTCAGGGTGCAGGCAACACTTTTTCACATGAACGGCATTCCCCTGCAAAGAAGCAGCAGCCCCGGGCAGTGACATTTCCAGCCTTCAGACAAGCAGTGAATTGCAGAAATGAGGTTTTATCCTTAGTAAATACACAAGCCTGGAGCCACCATTGGCCAAGAGCCCCTGTGCTGTGAATTCATATACGTGGTCTAGATTTGCGTAATATAGAGAGGCAGGAAAATAAAGCGTTCACTAGCATCATCCTTAATTTGTGAACGTGCAAAAGTGTTGCCTGCTTCCCCGGGGATGAAGGCTGCGAGACGCCGAGCACCTGGGAGGCAATTGTTGCTGTAGGATTGCACGCACAGCCTTCACCTTCATCGGCCCCGCTTCCCCGGGAGGGC